CAAAGCATTCCTGGACTGGAGCCCAGCAGGGTGGCCAGGACGGGGTGAACAACCCCGTGTTCGCTCTGTTGTCACACCACACCGAACAGGTGAACACATGTGAAGAGACATCCATCTGATGCCTTCTCCGAGCTCACTAAGGTACCTCATTATCACTGTGCTAACAAGTGATTTATTTTGTAGAGTAAAACGCTGAATTTAAACTAATGAATTTGTTGCCGGGAGGGGGATCTTCATGTTTGGGTCACTCCATAGCAGTTTGTATATTTAAGATGAAACCACAGAGCCAGCTTGTAAGACTTCCTAGTCAAAGCAATCACCCCTGAAAAGCAAAATGAATGGTCGTTTCATTAATTTACTTTAGAATATTCATAAAACCGTGACACTTCATATTTCATTTTAGCCTGCTGGCTTTTAAAATTTCTTTTCCCTAGGAGCCAGCCAGAGTCATGATGGCTGAGGCAGCTGGACCCACATGGCCCACTGCGCGGTTCAGGTCCTGGATGTGTGGCTTAGAGGGCACGCCGGGTGTGTGCATGCGTGTGCCACAACCCTAACAGGAGAGATGGAGGAAGGACTGAGATGGGGCCAGCCCGGCAGGGCGCTTTCTCTCCTCTCGCTCCAGCAAGCACAAATGCCTTCTGGCAAATTACAAAAGTAAAAATAAATAAACAAAATAAAATTTCTTTTACTCAGGTACTAGCAGCCAGCTTCTTCAAAAACCACGAGCATTGGCAAATAAATATACATTGCAAATGATAACACACAAACTTCACAGATTTTAAACCAGTGCATTCGATACCATAGTTTCGAAACATGAAGAAGATACTTCATGTAAGTTACTTTCCAAAATGATGACATCTTAGGTAGCAGATTGGATATTAGGCAGACAGAGACCTGCGCCGTCTGTGATATGGCATGTCTCTATCAGAAAGCATTAGCTCTACTTAAGCCACCACGCAAGGTGAGGGCTGCCTGCCAGGCTCCGCTGTAGCCCTACCAGGCAAGAGGCATTGCCTCCATTTTGGAAACTGCCTACCTGGTTGTTTTCCTGCTTTGCAAATAAATGAAAGTGCATGCATAATATTCCCCTAGGCTTGAGCGCAGCGGCCATGTGCTTGCCTGCTGTTTTCCAGAATTTAGTATTTCCTCTTACAGGAGCCGGGCACTGAGGGGCAGCAGAGCCTGAGAAGGACCTGGAGGCGACACCCCCCTTACGTCAGAGGAGCCTGCCTGTCCTCCCGTCTCCTGCCATGAAGAGTGCACACGGGTCTGCACTCTGGGATGTCACATTCTTAATCTCACTCGGTGCATACTGAGCGCGAGTTAAATGTGGTCCACTCCATGTGCAGCGCTCGGCATTGGAGTGGGAGGTGTGGCAGGGAGGCTGGCAGGTTCAGAGAACGTGGGGAGCAGGCTCTGTGCCCTTAGAGTCCGCACGGCATGTCAGGGAGGGTTTATCCACAGCGTCAGGAAACAGGCGTCGGTTTCGGGCCAGGAGCTGGAGGTTTTGCCTGCGAAGTTGTTTGGAGACTAAGAGACTCCTGGTATTACTGCTGGGGTGAGCAGGAAGAGGTTTCTTTAGTTAGTCAAAAATATTATTTAGTATCATCCTGATCATAGGGCACTGTCCATTATGAAATTCTTTACTGAATTAACAGTGGCTTTGGAGTGAGAAAAAAAGAAACAGTTGCTAAATTTGTTCTGACATTGACTGCAAGACAATAACAAAAGGGCCAGGCCAGGCACACAGCTGGTCCCGCAGGAGCTCTGTGGGTTCAGAGCCTCAGGGCAAGTGCTGAGGCTCTGTGCCTTCAGCTGGCTCAGTCCCAGGGTTTCTGGGGCAGACCCTGCTGTCCTGCGCTCTCCGGACTGGACCTCTGCTGGGAGGCAGAATTACTGCGCACATCCCTCCCTGCAAAACGGCCAGAGCTCTCCTGCTTGTGGGACTCGATGGCGGGGCTGTGACCAAGAGGCCCTGGCGTGCCTGAACTTGGGTTGAACCCTTCTGTTGGGGGAGGCAGAGACGGTCAGTGTGTAGCCTCTGTAGTTCAACTTCCTTGGTCAGAGCCCAGCTTGGCCATGGGCCGCTGCACTGGTGGAGCGGAGGCAGCTCCTTGGGAGGCCTGAGCCCCAGGCAAGCCCAGCTCCATGAACACCTGCAGCTTGGAGTTGTGCAGAGTCCGGGTCAAGTGGCACTTACCCTGACTGCAAGGAGTTCGCTCTTGTAGGACAGTTATGAACCAAACAGAGCCGGGAGAGAGCAGCGGGTGACCTGTTAAAGTGACGGGGGCGCCAGGGGCCAGAGGGGAAGAGCCTGAGCCTGGAAGGAGCCCAGCCGGCAAGGGGCGATCTTGTCTAGCTGTCCAGGAGCTCCAGGCTGGCTTTCATCACAGGCAGTTGTCACCTGTCTCCCTAGAATACGGACGAGGACGGGGTGAGACCTGGGCTGGAGTGTGATTCTGGAGTGTCTGTGATTTTCAAACTCAGCCTTGGTGCCTAAGATTCAGGGGGACCGTGAGCGACCCCAGCAGAGAAGCCTGTCAGGCCATGCACAGTGCTTATTTCTACGGCCGGTGCCAGACAGTGCCCAGGCAGTACGAAATGGCACAGAAGACAGAGCGGACACCTGGCAATCTGGTGAGAGCAGACAGGTTAAACCAGCCGCATGCCACATGGGTGATCAGGAAATCCCACTGCATGGACACGGGACTGTCTAGTTTAGAAAAACCCTGATTCGGGACCAGCAGTTAGAATAATGGCTATGTCGCTGGACTCCCATGTAGTCGACTGCGGTTCGAGTCCTGGACCCAGAGACTTAAACTCACGCTGGGCGCACGTGTGTGCCCAAGATCCCGAGAGGAGAATGGAGGAGAAGGGATTGCGGCATGGCCATCCCCCCTGGGGGGTGATTTCTTGCTTTTTGTCTCTCTGTCTCTCTGGCGAGCGCACGCGCCCTACAGTAGAAAACTAACTTACAACATTAGAAAAACTGGGAGCAATAGCTTTAGTACAAATACATTGAAATGGATTCCTAAGGCCTGCCTTTGACAAACTCCCATGGTGCTGTTCAAGTGGGGACCCCTCCCCCCTCACAAATGTACAGAACACTCATATGGGCCAGTCTGGTGCCGTGCAAGACGGGGCCTCCTGGTGCTTACCTGTAACCCTTCCAGTCAAAGCCTGGCCTGGCTGCCTTACCCAGCTGGGGCAGAGGGGAGTGCAGGGCTGACAGTGACAAAGGGGACAGTGGCACAGGTTCCAAAGAGGAGCAGCGGGCACAGCTGTGAAGGGAAAGCAGAGGACAAGGACCGGGCACACCACAGAGGCCTGGCTGGCTCTCGCCTGTCCAGGACAGGAAGAGGGCTGGGCGCTGGTTCTCAGGGGGCCAGTGAGGTGGCTCCTGGCTAGGGCCAGCAGGGTGGTACCACTCCTTTCTCGGAGGGACGCCAGCTTGACTCTGAGCAGCCACAGGTCTGAATTACTTCATTGGGGTGTTTAGCAGGAGGTTGGGCCATCTTTCCTTTTTATTAATAGTTTTATTATTATTATTTTAAAAATTGCATAGGACACATGCACTCCCCAGAGACAGAGTGAGAAAGCAAGCTGCCAGGTCTGGGACTTGAACCACAGTTGGCCATGTAGGAGTCCAGTGCCTTAATTCTTTTATTATTCAGCAAAGCTTCCTTTTGTGTCTAGCTTTGTGACTCCCTGGTTGGGGCTGAACCCCGTGGTGTGCTCTGGCAGAGCAGCCTCTCGGGCAGGTCGCCCACCTGAGGACCTCCCCCAGCCTGCCGCCTGCAGTGGGAGCTGCCCCTCAGGCGAGCAGGTGGTTCTTGCTGTTGGGCTTTGGTCATCTGGCTGCCGCTGAGGCTGTGCAGAACCAGGCCTGGGCCCAGACTCCACTCCGTCCTCTGTGCCCTCGCCTGCTGGGACTCTGCACCCGCTGGCCCAGCGCGGAGGCAGGCTCCCGGGGAGGGGCGCCTGGACGGTGCCACCAGGAGGGAGCAGGAGGCCCCTGAAGGGAAAAGACCTGTCTCTACCTGGCCTGCCTGGGAGAGCTGGAGAGGAGGGCACCTTCGCCCCCTTCCCCTTATGTCCACCCGGGCCTGGGGGGCGGCAGGGACCTCAGGGAGCGGGGACCCCAAAGGGAAGGTGGGGGAGTGTGGCTGGAAACCCTCCCGCGGACAGCCCCGCAGCACCCCGCCACAGGGAGAACTGGGCGTGTGCACGGATCCCAGCGTCCCCACCACCCCTGTACTCTGGCCACGTGCTCAGGTCCGAGCCGGCCGCCTTGTCCTGGGGGCGTGTACTGGGGTCCTGGCGACGCCCCACCGCCCTGAAAGCTGGGAGCAGCCTCCTGCCACCCGCCCTGGGGCGTGTACTCGGGTGCCAGGAAATCCCGCCCCAGCGCGTACTCGGGGCGTGTACCCGCTGCCAGCAGCACCCCACCCCGGCCCCGGCCCTGTACTTGAGCGGGGCCCGCGGCCCGCAGCCCCCGCGCCCG